GCCATGTGCTCCAGCCATACGTTTTAATGAGAGTTATCTCCCCTGGTTACATGTGACATTAGGATTCATATTCGGAAAAGGATTGGTAATACATGACAGTAACCACAAATGAAGTTATTTGAGGGTCCTGCAACTTACAGATGTCCATGCAGTGGGTGCTGAGCGGAGGCGACGAAAGGACAACAAACCAGGTGTTATCACTGCTACTCTCGAAACAACCGAGCAGAAGGCCAAGCTGTGGAAAAACAAAAAGAAACTGAAAGAAACGTTTGCGTTTAAGGACATTTACATTGATGATGTCATGTCTGATCATTCGGACAAATATGCACAAACTGATCAAAGAGGTAGGAAAAGACAAACAGCTGAAGTTCAAAGTTAGACGGCTTGTGACAGCCCCTCAAGGGGACAGATTGCGGTTCAGGCTGTGGAACAGTTGTGGGTTATGAAATAAACAATGCCACTTTAGAAAGTGGTCAAATGTAACATATGTCATACTTGGGATTACACTTTCTTTGTAAAGGACAAATTCTAGTACTTTTTTAGTTGAGTCCCATCCGGGATTCGAATTCTTCACAGCTAAGATATATTTACCACGAATGCCGAGTGTCAGTAGTTTATACCTTAAACAGTCTCTGTTGACACGATCGAATGTTTTCATTGCATCTATGTAAGAAGATAAATGTAGAAGACTTGACCGATTTCCTGTTATTGATAACCGAAACGAGAGTATCGATATGTTTATATGCATGATACATGTACAGACTATGGAAAATTATCGTATGACACTGTGAAATCATGTGTTAAACACAATGGTGACTTATCTGGCTTTTTTCTATGCTCCCTGAGTATTAAACAAGGGGAAGTAATGTCACCGATTATTTTCTCCCTATATCATGAATATATTGTAGTAGCACTACAGGAAAATATCGACGCGGGATTGCTGCTTGACTATATTAACCTTTTTGTTCTACTATTTGCGGACGATGGTTCTCATATCCGAATCCCCTGGAGGTTTACAGCTATGCCTTAATACGCTTTCCAGTTATTGCACAGACTCGAGCCTTAACGTTAATGTAGACAAAAGTAAAAGTATGGTTTTTCGTAAAGGAGGGACGATTCGACCGGAGGAAATATGGTTTTACAAGGAATCTCAGCAAGGACCTTATACGCATTTGATGCAAAATCCGCTGTTTAAGCCATAAGTTAAATGTTCAACAACAACGTTATAATAATAATATAAATTCCAATGTATTGATATGTGACAAATGTGATTTTAATGTTACACTGGATGAATTTCATGTTTTACTTGTGTGTCCATTCTATTCTGTACAAAGAAAACTGTACTTACCTAGTTATTACCACACGTTTCCATCAAGATTAAAAGTTAAACAACTTTTAACAACAACAAATGCACATCTATTGAAGTCAATAGCATTATTTTTAAAGCATAACTTGCCTGTATGAAAATGAACTAATTACATTGTTTTTGTCTGTCCAACCGCACAACATTGTTCTTATATGTTTGTACTAATTGCCATGTGGCCTCAAATACTGAATAAACTTCTTCTTCTTCTTCTTCTTCTTCTTCTTCTTCTTCTTCTTCTTCTTCTTCTTCTTCTTCTTCTTCTTCTTCAGCTTGAAGTTGTTGACCAGTTTAATTATCTAGGTATAGTGCTTACATACACGTGCTCCTTTACACAAGCTTATAGAACCCTAGCAGGCAAAGGTCTTAAAGCTATTAATGCTCTACTTAAAGGTCACATGCAGCAAAAAAAATAAAATAAAATTAAAACACAATTATCACTTACTCATGACATATAATATACATACATACATACATACATACACACACACACACACACACACACACACACACACACACACACACACACATACATACATACATACATACATACATACATACATACATACATACATACATACATACATACATACATACATACATACATACATACATACATACATACATACATACATACATACATACATACATACATACATACATGGATGTCAATCTCAACGGCACATCGTATTGTCAATCTCAACTCCCTGGGGATCATACAACTCTTGCAGCCACTAGGCGCACCGAGTTATTGTGGCATTCCCATCCTTACGAGGTACCCATTTACAGCTGGGTGGACTGGGACACATAGTCACAGTACTTTGTCCATGTTTACTGCACGTTGCTGTACCCGCAACTGGGTGTTTGCACGTATTCATGTGGCCACCATCTGGTCATATACCAACGGATTCTACATTGATGATTATGAAAAAACAAATAAACAAAATTATAAGCGTACAATCGCAAATCAAAAGTGCCATATTTTGTACTTGTGTTTACTTCCCTCGAAACGAAGCATCCGGTATACCGAACCCAGTCAGAGCGGATGGGCGTGCACTTAAGTGTAACGAAGGCTTTCATTGGCTTCTTCATTTGCCAATATACTAGGGCTCTTTGTGTGTGTGTATAGGGATGTTGGGTTTTGTAAATACATGCTCATTTTTTGTGTATAACAATTTGCAATCAACAGACATCATAACATGTCATGTGTTCAAGTATCACCCCTGACTGCCTGTGTAATTACATAATGTGACAGAAAAAGAACTCGGGTGCACGAGCCATAAATCAATGCGTTTTGTTTATGGTGTATAGCCTGATAGGTGTTAAGTTCAAATTGCATGTGGTCAGTGATCGAAGTTGTGTATTGCATATTGTCATTAGCAGACAGGCAGGCAGACACATAGGTGTCAATAAAACAGACATTGAGTTTTGTATGTGATATAGGCATATCTTTATCACAGTTAGAAATTCTGACAATGCTAAATAATGACGTTCTTTTAAGTATCGAACTGAGAAAGTGACTCGGTAAGAAGAACGTGTGGTGAAATAGTCAAATGAAATTATATAAACAGTTAAATCGGTAATCTAGTGTCATAACATATACAAGCTCGCGAATGAATTGCTGGCCCGAGATGTTTATTACTGCAAGCTGGGACCACAAGTTCGTTCGTGTTGCTGAGCTTTTTTCTTGACTACGTGGCTGTTATGCATACTGCCTTTCAATCTCGCCACTAAGTTAGTAAACAACGAGGCAAAACGGTCAATTTTAGTACAATTACATCGATATTACACCAGGTGCATACAGCGACCACTCCCTGCTCGAACACATAACATGCGGTGTCAGTATAATTAGTCGCTTTATCATTTCAGATGTGTCAATATTCTAATTGTGACAATACTGCCCTTCCTTTGTTAGTCTTGGCAGGCAATAGTTTGAATGGTGTCAAATATATTTTCGGTTTTCCATGATATTGAAAGGATGTCCTTACCATATATTGAGATGCTCTATTCTTGACAAAGAGCCGGCTGCTACTTGCAAAAACTGATTATTCTCGATACAAATGCAATCATATATAAACGTTTTCGTCACGTCATATAATCGGTATATTGATGGATGTTTTCACATCGTGTGTTTTGACAATCAGAATTTGAAAAACTTGACATTCTCGATGGCATTCAAACACTTTTGATTGAGGCAATGTTGGGAATGGAGCTGGAAAAGGGCTTAACTTTAACGGACCAGTTATATTTAATGTGACATGTTGTAACTTACAAAGTGATATTAAGGTAGATATAATACTAATCTATGGATTTATATACCCACGTATGATATGATATTGAACAAGACTAAAAAAAGGTAGATAATTAAATTAGTTTCATGAAAAAATATCCGAATGATTACATTATGATACTGAAAGTGTAATCGGCGGAATATGGTGATTGTGTATACTCTTATTCTACCGACCTTCACCTCAGAGAAATTGCCGAATATGTACAACAATGTTGACGTATGACATCACTACCGTTGAGATTTCTTAAAAAATGGCGGCTGACATGGGTTTTGCGAGGACCCTTCTCTTGATTCAGGGATCGTTTGTACATAAATATGAGATGTAAGTAATCAGAATGATTCTGACTATCTGTGTATTGTTACATGTTTTTATCGTTTTCATTTTAAGAAAGAGAAGAAGCGGCCAGAAATGCCGATTATTACCGTTGTCGTTCAGACCTGTTGTCGGAATTGAAGTAAGTCCTACACAGAGCTGGGATCATATATCTTTGAAATATATATGCAAACGTCTGGAACCTTGTGTTCCAATACAAGCGTTCGTAGCGCTGCGACATTCGCATGCCTATGATAAACTATAGAGTTGGTCTCAAACATTGACTGGATTACATTCTCATCGTCAGCAGAGAAATTTCGACTTCTCTTTTTCCTTGGGGTGCAGGCGACATTTCGCGATTCCATTGGTAATCCGGAAGTAAACAGAAAACGAAATTGTGGGATATATGAAAGCTAACCAGTGACGTTAACCACACTATTAAACTTTGACGGCGACGTTAGCTAACGGCATGACTAACCATGTTTTGAACAACGCATATTTCACGTTCGGTTACCTAACGGCCGGTTAAGGATTTAACCAAGCACTGGACCCGGTTGTTCAATACTCGGTTATCTTAACCGTCGGTTAACTCCTAACGGCCGGTTAAATCCGGACCCGGTTGTTCAATACTCGGTTATCTTAACCGCCGGTTAACTCTAACGGCCGGTTAAGGATTTATATGAGTTAACCGAAGATAACCGAGTATTGAACAACCGGGTCCAGTGCTTCATACATGTGTTTCACCGCTATTCATGATTATGTCTGTGATACAAAGTATGATAGTGTCTCATGGGCCATTTGGCCGGGTGATGTACTTTTTAACTGTTTTTTGTTTTCTGTGTGACACCTTTTAGATACGTATATCATGTGACACTTAAATAAAATTTTATCTTATCTTATGTGCAACGTCCCTAAATTTGAATGACAGAAATGTAGAAGCTGTTAGTCGTCATGTGGCCTATTGCCGGCTTATTGTCATAGCTCCAATGTGTCGCATGAGATCGAATATACACTGCTACCGCACGTTTCAAAGTGTGTACTTGTACATAACCACCAGACTTGGAAACACGTGTGTCCCGCTGGTTCAGGAAACGATAAACAAGGTAAACTTTTGGAATACAAAACAATACCTAGCGGTACAGGACATGCAATATAAAGGTAAATCTTGATATATACTATTCAAAAAAGGTAGGGGATATTGGATTGACAAGATTGATAAAATGCAAATGATGAAGCCAAGGAGAAAACAGATGATGGATAGAAATTAAGGGGAAAATGTGACAATTTATTCCATTCCTTTGGAAATGTTTCATCTGTATGGATATATATTACTCTTTGGCATATGCATTGGCAAAATGGAATATCCTCTACTTATTTTAATGATAATTATATATTGATTTGTATATCGGAAATACACGTGTTTTAAGTTATCCCCAGTAATTATAGAATTATAGTTATATAGTAATTATAATTAAGATAATGTTTTACATTTAGCATTATAATCGGTTAATCTTTGCATTATACTGCGCAATTGTACAACCGACCCTGGCTTTAGTAGAGATTTCTTATGGATGTGGAAAGGGTTTTGTCGCTCCTATTTGTATAATCAAATGTTATTTTAATTGTTATCATTATTTTTACGCAGACCTACCATTTGGGTAGCGGATTTTACTGACAAGATTTCACATATCCAGAAATTCGTTTAAACTGGCTATAAAATGGAAAGTGCTTGAGAAAAAGCAATTTTCCGAATAATTCCGAATTATTATTACTGTATATCTTATTAGTTTGGTAATTCTATTTCAAATGAACACAATATCACTTTATGGTATGTTTTTTTTGGTCGAACGACAACACTCTTTCGGAAACAACATCATGATACTGACTCCGTCAAATATTTGAAATTGTCAATTGGTTTGAAATAAATATAACGTTAGACTATGTCTGTCTCAAATTTCAAATGAACCAAGTTTCCGTTTTCACGGATTCAGCTGGGCTTCTCTTCAGTTATTGGTTATATTATATTAATATAATATATCTATATTAATATTGATGTATGTTTTTAGAGACCTGTCGTTAGTCGATGAATGACAGTGTCAGTCCAGCTAGGTACACTTGCATAAGGGTTGACTTGCTTATAGTTGGAATGAGAGATTGCTAGGTAGCATATGTGAAACATTGATTAATGGTACATGGACAGTAAACTTCGGTTATCAAAGGGTACACTAACTTAGGTTCGATATAACCGGAGTTGGTAATGCTGAAATATACAGCTATATACATATACCAAAATATGCATACATATACATACTACATACATACTAACATTTATATAGCGCCGATATCCAGCTCAGCTCAGCTGCTCAAAGGCGCTTTGTTTTTCCCTCGTTCACTGGATGTCAATCTCAACGGCACATCGTATTGTCAATCTCAACTCCCTGGGGATCATACTGATACAAAGCTAGGGGCCGGGATCCCTGAGACACTTCGCTGTAAGCGAGTTCGTTATAAGCCTATTTTACTGTATGTGAGATTTTTCTAGTTACATTGAATTGTTTTTTCGTAAGTTCGATTATTTTCGGTAATAATTGAAATTATAAGAAGATGATCACAATTTTAAAACATACTCGAAATTTCTGATATATGAAAGGAACTTGAGAAAATAATCAAAGTGACGAGAAAAATGTCGTTGATTCCTATTTTCTAATACAAATTTGAAATGATGCAAAAACTCTGCAACAAAGGTAATCCTAAAGGTTTTTAGTTGGGTTCAGATGAAGGTTGTCAATTCTGGTCGGAATAGAATAGTTGAGCGTATACCCTCTCTCACCGATGGCACCCGTCATCAGCAACTGTCAAAGTAACAGTAGAACCCTCAACGGTCCAGCAATGGTGTTGGATAAGCTTGAAAGTGGGTCGGTGGGGTAGCTTAGTGGTTAAAGCGTTCGCTATTCACGCCGAAGACCCGGGTTCAATTCCCCACATAACATGGGTACAATGTGTCAAGCCCATTTCTGGTTCCCCCGTCGTGATATTGCTGGAATATTGATAAAAGCGGCGTAAAACTGAACTCACTCACTAACTCACTCACGCTTGAAAGTGCCGAGGTTCGTTCACCTGCACACGGACGTCAGAAAAAGCCGCATGTGTTTGCATGGTTTCCTTATTGCTTGTGATTAACAGAATTGTGTCTTCTAAAATAAGGAAATAGGGGAGATATAGTAAAAACCAAATCAAGGGCCGGAACTCACTTATTACCAAAATACCGTTAAACAAATACCACCAGATACATACAATTCGCAAGGTGGCAAAAATGACCACAAATAAATTGTATTTCCATGAATGTTCACATTTTACATGTTACATGACATAACAAAATGGAAATAGGATAAGCAAACAGACAAAAAGGCCTATATCAATGCTTCTCCTCAGTACTTAACCTCTATAGTACATAATAATCAATTCTATGAAGCACACATTAATGACTGACTTAAAATCAAAATCAAATATAAAATAAAAAGCAACACACCAAATGCATTTATATTCTTAACTTACTTAAATTCCGTAAAGCGGTTAGTTTCAGTTATGTAAGTTTGAACTGATTTTATAATGTTTTCATTGTCTGAAGGAGATGAATCATCATTGCTGTGGAGAACAGTATGTATGCTAAGGTGGATAACGACAAAGTATCTATAAATTCTGAACTGGGAATAGCGGGGATAACATAGAAAGGAGTGGGAAGCATCTTCTCTGTTATGGCCACATGAACAAGTGGGATCATCAATAAACATTCTGTCAAATAAATGTGATTTTAAATCAGTTCAACCTGGCCTGATTCTAGATAGAATCACTTGTCATTGGCGCTGGTCATAACTAGCAATGGATGTAAATTTAAAGAAAGCTTAATGTCGGTGGAAATCAATTGCTAAACCTAGATAAGGAATCTACATTTCTGATATAATTAATATTGAGTGCATTCCAAGCTTCAACAACAGATGGCAGAAAAGATCGATTATCCTGGGCTAAGCACCCTGCATTGGTTTGAAAGTCGTTAGAGCTACAATGTTATATCCTGTTATGCTGGAGATATTAGGTGGGACCTCTTAAGATAGGTATTTAGGAGTTAGCCCTTTGACCATTTCATAAAATATACATAATTAATGGCAATGTCGTCTGTCTGACCGTGAGCAAAACTCATTTCCCTGTAAAGGTTTTCATGACTGGTTCCTCGTACTGCTCCACATATTGTTCGAAGAGCATCTAAGAGTAAGTTTTTTCTAATAGTTTTACTTGTTGATCATAACAATTATCCCAAATGTTATCGCAGTAGTCAAATATGGATATGCTAAAGATTTGTACATGATTTCAAGCGTTCTTCAATTTAACTTGTATTTCAAACAACGTAGACAATTTATTAATGGACTCTCTTTACGGACAAGGTAATCAATATGTTTCTTCAGAGAGGAAATATCTCAACTATTCGAACAAAATAAACAGCTTGAAATGCAGGTTACGGAACTTAAAGTCAAAGAATGTGAACACGATGAACTCATAGAAACTTTAAATGACAAACTTGACAGTATGGAACAATATTCACCGCAATAACATCAGAATTACTGGTGTCCCAGAGGTAGCTGGGGAGGACACAGATGAGATGGTTCTTAATATCGCAAAATATATCGGTGTTGACCTGTCCCCTTCAGACATCGATATCAGTCATCGAAAGCCAAGGTTTCCTCCATCGCCCCAGTCCCAACCGAGACCGATCATCGTTTTTGTTTGTCAGCAATGCAAGCAAATGTAACCTTCTAGCAAGTAGGTCTAAGCTGAAGACCAAACAACGATCTGATCTTCATTAATGAAGACCTCACCAAAACCAAAGCTCTGCTAGCTAAAGAAGCCAGACTCCTAGCGAAGGAAGGGACGATGGAATCTACCTGGGTAACGTGGGGAGTCATCCTGGTGAAGTTCAAGGACGGAAATCCTAAAGGGGTCGCTTCAAAGACTCATTTACAAGAAGTCCATGATCAAACTAGACTGAAAATGGTCATTTCGCTGAGCCAGGACTCTCACTAACTCCAACTGAATATTTGTCTTCTTACACTAACAGTTACTGTAAATACAATGACAACTATCCGTTCATCACGTTTATAATTGTTCACTCTTAGATAGACCAGGCTGTCTATCGTTAATACATATGATAAAAGGGGCACTTGCACTACATAGAAGACGATGGAATCTACCTGGGTAACGGTAACCGTTAATATTACCAACGATGGAGGTGTCAAATTACAATTGGCATATTGATGTACAGTATGTAGTACACTATTCAATACCATGGTGGAATATTACCAACGGTGGAAGTGTCAAATTACAATTGGCATATTGATGTATGTGTAGTACACTATTCAATACCATGGTGGAATATTACCAAAGGTGGAGGTGTCAAATTACAACTTGGTGTTAAGGTGTCAATACACTTAAGACTTAAGACTGTAACATTGATCTGTGACTTTGTATGAACTAACATTGTGTCCTCAAAAGTTGAGGTGTGAATGATTATGACGTTATGATTGTTTTTGAATGTTATCTCAAGTGTAGATCCCACCGTAAATTGTAATAATTTTCGTTGCGGTAAAATGTAATAAATATTTACGTAAATTGTAATACGCAAATTGCAATAAAATTGACGTAAACTGTAATAATTTTCGTTGCGGTAAAATGTAATAAATATTTACGTAAATTGTAATAACAGTTTTAATCACTCGTAAATACGCGTGTTACGACGTAAATTGTAGTAAAAACGTAAATTGTAATACTTGCAGCGAATTGTAATAACCCTTGACGTAATTGTAATAAAAGCGTAAATTGTAATAAATATTTACGTAAATTGTAATGACAGTTTCAATCGTTTGTAAACAGTTTCAATCGTTTGTAAATACGCGTGTGTTCGTTTTTCATTGCATTTCAAACATCATATAAGCTTGTGAGGGCGATAACTCAAGAAAAAAATGATGGATTTTGTTCAAATTTGGTACCAAGGTGTCGTGGCGAGATTCACCGACACCAGGTGAATTTAGTGACCTTGAGATAATTTGCAAGG